CGCTGAATACTAATGGCCCACCATGAAAAAAGAAGTCGCGGACTACGTGAGGAAATGTGAACAATGTTAGAAGTACGTTCCTATGATACATCAAGTAGGGGAACTCCTTCATTCTGTCACTTCACTATAGCCATTCATAAAATAGGGGATGGATATTATCGTACCCCTCCCAGCAGGACGAGGTAAGGTACGTTTCTTTTGGTTTTAACTGATTACTTTTCTAAATGGGTGGAAGTAGGTGCATACGCTCAAATACATGAGCAAGAGGTCATCGTGATCATACGTAAAAATAAAATATACCATTTCAGCATCCCCAAAGAAATCAGATGCGATAATGGACCTCAGTTCGTCAGAAAGAAAACGACTGTGTTTTTCGAAAAATGGCACATCAAACGAATACTCTCCATGCCATATCATCCCGCCGCCAATGGTCAAGCCGAATCCTCCAATAAAGTAATACTGAATATATTGAAAAAGAAGCTCGAGGACACCAAAGGGCTATGGCTTGAACTACTACTGAAAGTATTATAGGCATACCGTACTATACCAAAAACCAGTACAGATGAGACGCCATATTCACTGGTTTACGGGACTGACGCAGTTATACCTGTCGAGGTTGGAGAGCCTAGTTTGAGATACTCCAACGAGAGCGGACCAAACAACGACGAAAGTAGGCTACAAGATCTGGACGAAGTCGAAGAACGGAGAGACATGGCCCACATAAGAATGGTAGCCCAAAAGCAACAAGTACAAAGTTACTACAACAAGAAGGCCAAAGTGCGAATGCTCAAGGTCGGAGATTATGTCCTCAAGGCTAAAGCACAAGAAGCGAGAGACCCTAATGAGGGAAAACTGGGAACGAACTGGGATGAACCATACAAAATCACGGCGGCAGCAAACAAAGGAGCATTCCAGTTGGAAAAAATGGAGGGAAAACTACTCCAAAACAATTGGAATGTCGCTCATCTCAAATACTTCCACTTTTAAGAGGAGGCGCCACCCAAGTCGTACACTTTTTCCCTCGTCCGGGTTTTGTTCCAATCGGGTTTTCTCGATGAAGTTTTTAATGAGCCGATAAGGGGGACGTCTCGAGGTTCGAAGTATTGTTCATTACCTCACCCGTCGACATGCTCTCTGGAATAAAGTAATGAAGGGACTGGATATAGATAATCAAATCTCCATTGTATGTACAGAGTCGACATGTGATTATTACAAGAATATAATTAAATCTCCAGTATGAATAAAGTCGACATGTGTCTTCCTACGGGAATATGATCAAATCTCCAACGTGAAATGGCCAGGGCCATCGATGAAAATATGGGTTCGACCTTGTTCGAACTACGACGGGATCCTACTTCGACATCAGCTCGAAGCGACATCCCAATAGCCAAGGCCATCGACGAAAATATGAGTTCGACCTCGTTCGAACTACGATGGGATCCTACTTCGACGACAGCTCAAAGCGACATCCCAATGGACAAGGCCATCAACTAAAATATGAGTTCGACCTCGTTTGAACTAGAACGGGATCCTACTTCGATGACAGCTCGAAGCGACATCCTAATGGCCAAGGCCATCGACTAAAATAAGAGTTCAACCTCGTTCGAACTACGACGGGATCCTACTTCGACAATAGCTCAAAGCGACATCCCAATGGCCAAGGCCATCGACTAAAATATGAGTTCGACCTCGTTCGAACTACGAGGGGATCCTACTTCGACGACAACTTAAAGCGACATCCCAATGGCTAAGGCCATCGACAAAAATATGAGTTCGACCTCGTTCGAACTACGAGGGGATCCTACTTCGACGACAACTTAAAGCGACATCCCAATGGCTAAGGCCATCGACAAAAATATGAGTTCGACCTCTTTCGAACTACGACGGGATCCTACTGCAACGACAGCTCGAAGTGACATCCCAATGGCCAAGGCTATTGACTAAAATATGAGTTCGACCTCGTTCGAACTATAACGGGATCCTACTTCGACGGCAGCTCGAAACAACATCCCAATGGACAAGGACATCGATGAAAATATTAGTTCGACCTCGCTCGAACCACGGCGGGATCCTACTTCGACGATAGTTCGAAGCAATATCCCAATGGCCAAGGCCGTCGACGAAAAAGGGAATCGACCCCATCCAAAAGCTAAATCGACTTAACAGCTCGATAGGTATCCTGGATACCATAGACATTGCAAGAAACACCAACAAATCGACAAAATAAATTCTACATTACATCAAAATGTTATTTACACCTATCCTTAAAAATGGGCTAAAGCACGCCCCCTATAAAAGCCCCAAAACAAAAGCAAGTACAAACAAAAGACTACACATCATCCCCGGTGGGGTAAATATCTTCGTACCAAAAGTCTGAAGCAAGACAATTCACATCATCAGAGTTGATGTCATCCCCGTCAGGTATAAGAGGGTCATACCCGCATGCCTCACGAGTTGCATGAGCTTCGGTATGCACGGTCTAAAGTTCCACTTCAATTGCCCTCCCTTCGGCATGGAAATCCTTGTACACATCAAGTCGAGCCTCAGTAAGTACCCACAACTCATATAAACGACAAGGCACAATCGAATCGGCCGAGGCACAAGACGTAGAAGGTTGATAGTGTTGACTTGCATCCTCCGCTCTCAGCGAGGCCACTTGTCCATTCAGCGCAGATATCTCCTCCTCCAACTCTTTAACATGTCCTTCAAGCCCCGCGACCTTAAGATTAGAGGCCTTCTTCTCCCCAGTCAGCTCCGACCTACAAACACGGAGGGCATTCTCCAAAGATGCAGTTACAGAAATAGCTGCCGCCAGCTTATCAGCACCAACGTCTAGTACCCTTAATCCCCTCAATCTCCACCGCCTTTGCACTCAATTCAGCGGTCAAACTGGCTACCTTTGCTTGTAAGTCGACATTCTCGGCCATCACCCCCTGTTCAACTCAAGCTTGTCCTCCTTCACCTTAAGGGAAGCCTCAAGTTCACTATTACGGGCGACGACCTTCATAAGCTCCTCATACCGCTCCCTCATCTCTTCGATCTTACGCTCCAGCTAGTCCTCCCTCTGTTTGAGCCCTTCACAAAACAACTAAAATTCGAGGTCTTGATTATAAATGTCGGCCATCGCGCGGTGCTTAACACGATACCGTTGATACTTGGATGACATATTCCCATAGATAGCCGTCCTCTTCCTCTCCCGACGCTCTCGCTCGGTCTCCGTGATGAGGGTCTGGCACAAAAGAAAAAGAGAAGTTAAAAACAAAATACAAGTCGACAATCGCCACACAAACCCAACGACAAAAAAAAGAGGCACTTACCCGTAAGGCCATAACGGCGATGTTCTGAGACAACTCCATGTCACTCATCACCCTAAGCACCTCGTTTTCTAGGGCAGCACATAGAGGAGCTAAAACATATGCCACTTACTCACAGTTCAACAGCAAGTTGTAGTCCCCTGGAATGACTATGTGACTCTCAAACCCTTCCGCTCTGACCTCCATGTGTGTATGGCAACCTACGAACTCGTTAACGTCCTTCGGGTCAACATCTGAACCTGAGCCTTCACCCTCGTCACGACGGCCCCCAATGTTGGACTATGCGCCGCCCTTGGTAGAACACACAGAGCTGGCTCCTAGGTAAACTCCTTCCGCTTGGGGAGATCTCTTTGACAAAATGGTGTCAGCCATAAATGTGGGTACGGGTGTCATCTGTGATGCCCTGCTTCTATCAGCGTCCACGACCACGCCCTTCCCGAGCTCCATTCTCCTCATTTTTCTCGATAACGGCTCATCCCCGTTGGAGGATTCGTCCAAAAGGTGTGGGATCGACATTGAAGAAGGCTCCTCCCTCATGACCACGACCTTAGAGGGACCTTCTAATTGAATAGGTTGAGGACGACCCTCTCGAACAGATTCACTCAAAGTAAACTGTGTGTCCGCAACATCGACGACCTGTCGGAATGCATGGACTAGCACCCTCTACCTGGAAGCTCCTCGACCTGCCATCGTAAAGGGTCATATCAATAAACGGTGTCATTTATCCAACGGAGTAGTAGGGAAAACATTTACCATATGGAACTTTCGGGCCATGACGCTTTACAAAGGCGGGACATTCTCAGGTTTCTGCCGCTTGGGGCAACAGATGGGCTACCCAATCTCTTATGCCCACAATAGGGCGAGGAGGATGTCCCATGGCTGCAAATGAGAAGCAAACAAACTTTATAATGAATATAGATGAAGGAAGAGTAAAACGAGTGGCGACACTTACGAGTATCATTCCATCGCTTCGGGAACCTGGCGGAGTTAGAAACGATGTGTTCAATTTTGACAAAGAAGTACTTGTGCCAAAACTTGCAACTCACTCGGTCGTCTGTCCCGACCACCAGCCCTTTTGTACCATGGTGCCTCAAATGCACCATGGTACCCATGTGGAAGCTAGGCGAGAACAAGTGTAAAAGGTGATGGACAAAAATATCACATTCCACCAACTCCGCATACTTGGTCAACAACAGAAGTATCTTAAGCGTATACGATGAAAGTTGTGCCAGACAAACTTGATAGAACATACAGAACTCTTCCACTAATGGGAAGAGAGGAAAAGTATAGCCAATCACGAAAGGGTACTCATAGAAAGCGCAGTACCCAGGTCTGTGGACCTCTACAAAATTTCTCCTCGCCGGAACCATGTAAACATGAGCGGGAATGCCATATTATACACGAAGAGCGTCAATGTGAACTTGCTCCGCACTACTAGAAAATGGTAGATTTCCGATGGCTAAAAAGGTCGGAATTCGGTCTGAAATCACGTATTTCCGACTACTTTCCGACCAAATTTGGTCGGCCAAAAAAAAGTTGGTCGGAATACAATATTACGAACCAACAATACACTAATACAATATTACAAACCAAAGAAACATTAATACAATATTACGAACCAACAATACATTAACACTATCTAAATTAACAATACATTAACAAATTCTAAACCAACAATGCCAACAATTAACACAACTTAAACCAACAATACCAACATTTAAACTTAACAATTTTGGGCATAAAACATCCAGATAGCAGCCCATATTCAAGTTTGAAAGCAATACATAAAGTTGTCTCTCACAATCAAGTTTACCAATCAACCAAAACATCACAACTAAACTACTACACATCATATTCAGTTTGTTCATCCTCATCATCAGATAAATCATGCCCATGTTTACGCATGCATTTCTGCATCTTAACAAATGTTCCGTATTAGGAGTCCAATTGTTGCTTCAATTTACGAATTTCATTTCTCATATCTTCCATCTGTTCTTGATTTTGAGGAGAAGAAGAATTGGCTAAGAGTGGGTTTGGATGACCTGTAGATCGATGTACTCCTAGTCCATAAACTCTGCCTTTGTTTGCTCCACCCTCTGCCTCTGTCCACAATAAAGCTATATCATCAGGTGTTGGTTGAGTTGAAGGAGGCTGAGTTTGTTGCCATTTTTCCAACCTTTTATGATAATCTTCCTAAAATGAAAAACATAATTATTATGTAAACAAACAAATATTAATAAACCATAAATAATTATGAAGTTATAATTTTACATATGTGTCTGACGCATGCGTTTTCACCCAGTGTTCTCTTGTACTATCCTTTTTCGTTTTCTTATGAAACTCCTCGAAGACCTTAGTGTAACTCACATCTCGCCCTTTTTCCTTTTCCTTCATAAGAAAAAGTATGAGTTAGACTTTACAAATGTAAAATTCTATATGTAAAACTAAGAAATTTTTTATAAATAATTACCATTCTTAGTTTATGGGCCTCAAAAGTAATCGAACCTCCTATGTGCAACGAGCCACCTTTTTTAGAGCCACAGTTTGCCTTTGCTTGTTCACTCTTTGCCTTCCATTCTGGTATTCCATTTCTCAAAATTTTTATCCCAAACATCTTCTCTTAAACTTGGGATAAACAACATCTTGCCCATATGTACCCACAAAGTAACTGCCATTATAATATTTATTAGTTAAATCAATGGTATATTTAATATAAAAGTCCGTAATATATATGAATATATACTTACCTATAATAAGGTTGGACCTCAGGGCAATTTAATAATACATATGTTGTAGCTGACTTTAGCTCCATCTCAGACAACCTTTGCTTTGGACTATTTTTTGGACCTCCTTTACCTGGTTGATTAAAAATGGAAAAGGGTGGTGCCAAAGGATCGATTTCGCCTTCATCGTCATGCCGATTCGGTCTATTTTTCAAACATGGCACATCATGTTCAAAATAGTATGAACAGAAATAAGATGTTTCTTTAGCCACATATGCCTCGCATATCGAACCTTCAATTCTTGATCTATTTTTTATGGTCCGTTTACATTTGCCAATGGTCCTGCATAGTATTATTTTTAGACAAAACAATCTTTAAAGCAAATACAAAAGGTAAATGATTAAATTTCATTACCTCTAGAAGGGATACATCTATCTACATTGAACTGGCCCTCCAAGTTGTGCCTCTTGTGTAAGGTGAATTGGAAGATGTTCCATTACATCAAAAAAACCAAGAGGGAAGATTTTTGCCAGCTTGTTTAAAGTTAAGATAATGTTACTCTCCATATAAATTAAGTTCTCCACCCTCAATGTGCTAGAACACAAATCCTTGAAAAAATAAATTATCTATGTAATCGGTTTCCATATTCGATCATGCAATGCATTGAACGCCATAGGCATCAACGCTTCCATGAAAATATGACAATCGTGGCTTTTCATTAACTCCAACTTCCCTTCTTTCATATCAACACACCTGGATAAATTTGATGCGTACACATCAGGCATCTTCAAATTGTTAACCCAACTACAAATCTCTCTTCTCTTATCCAAGGTGAACGTGTAACTGGCTTTGGGTTTCTATATCTTGTTGTTAAATTATGTCAGATACAACTCACTTCACCTACAATATTCCTTTAAGTCCATCCTAGCCTTCAAGCTATCTTTGGTCTTGTTAGTAACGTCCATAATAGTGTTAAACAAGTTGTCAAAAAAATTCTTCTCGATATGCATGACGTCCAGATTATGCCGAAGAAAATTGTGCTTCCAATAAGGTAATTCCCAAAATATGCCCTATTTAGTCCAGTTGTGTGTGACACCATAACCTGGTATCTTAGATGGTGGAGACTCTGTTACTTTAGGCATATCTCTTACTCTGTTCCAAATTTCTTCTGAACACAAGCAGGCCGGTGGCTCCTCAAAATCAGTTCGGTTCTTCATAAATGCACTTGTATTTCACCTAAATTCATGATTCATTGGCAAGAATCTACGGTGGCAGTTGAACCATGTATTTTTACCTCCATATTTCAAAGTAAATGCTTTAGTGTCTTCCATACAACAAGGGCAAGCTAATTTTCTAGTAGTCGACCACCCGGACAACATTCCATAAGCAGGAAAATCATTTATAGTCCACATCAAAGCAGCATACAATCTAAAGTTTTGTTTTGTTGATATATCATATGTTTCCACACCTTGATGCCATAATAATTGTAACTCATCAATAATTGTAACTCATCAATCAAAGGCTGCAAGTATACATCAATCAAACTTTTCAGATTGCGTGGACCTGGAACAATACAAGTTAGGAACAGATATGGACTTGTCATACACAACTTTGGCAGAAGATTATATGGAGTAACAAACACCAGCCAACATGAATATGGTGTAGCAGAGACAGCAAATGGAGTAAATCCATCTGTGCATAATCTCAACCTAATGTTTCTTGGTTCACTAGCAAACTCGGGAAATACCCTATCAAAATATTTCCACGCTTCTCCATCTGACGGATGGCAGAGTATATCAGGTGGCCTTCTATGTTCGTAGTGCCATATCATATGAGGAGCAGAGCTCATTGATGCATACAACCTCTTTAATTATATCGAGAATTTTCAACATTATGCTCCGAAATAGGTCTACCCTCACCACCAAAAGAATTATGAAAGTTAGCATCATCTAAACCAGCATGTTTCTACCCGTGAGCAGTCCATATATAATAATTTTCTACAAACCCTTTCTTGTAGAGATGGACTTTAACTTCGTCTGATTTCAATAACTTAACACATTTACATTTCACACAAGGACACCTAATCCTTCCTCCAATAAGAAAATCATCAAGTGTTTGAGTCTTAGCAATAAATTCAGCAACCCCTTCAATAAATTCATCCCTCAACCCCGGACGATTAGGATGATTCCTATTATACATCCATCTGCGATGCACAAATTCCATCTACACACATAAAAATCTATAAATGAGATATTTAAAATAATTTGATTTATTTAAACTAGTTATTTAACACTCGAAATCTCACATTAATCCCTATTCTAAATAATTTAAGTCTTTAAATATACTAATTAAATTTGAATAGCTTCTTAAATGTTCATGTAATCCAAATTAATTAATGATTTCTCAATAAAAGAAATAGTCGTAGCTAACAATCTTGAAATTCAATCTGGAATTGTAATATAGGGGTACTATATTATTTTCTGTAACGAAAAAGTCACTTAGTTTTGTTAAGTATTAAGGAAAGACACTATTTTTATAATAAAACAATCAACTAATTAATACTATTTTTCTATATAAAAAAAGTCAACTAATTAATACCATTTTTATAACAAAAAAGTCAACTAATTAATGTTACTTAAGTATCACAAAAATATTTCTTTTATTTCCTCCTAGTGAATGTGATTAAATTACCATTGAAAAGTTAAAATATGACAAAAGTTTAGCATAGTGAGTATATCTCGAATATATTGGGATCTAATTGAGAGGAGAGAATATCTAACAACGGTCAAGTTTTATATAGCAAACCAATAAATGTATGATATTCACAAAATATTTATTATTTTACCTACTCACATGATGATATAAACGTTTATATTCGTATATATTCCTTAATCATGAATTAACACGAATAAACAATAGTCCTTATTTGTCATTTACCAAAATATATTTGATTAAACATATAGTTTAAAGAAGATAATTTTTTTTTGAAACTTAAGATATTAAAGATTCCATAGTTGGTATTTGCTTTGTCTTTAAATAAAAGTTTGACATCATGTCAGATTAATCAAATATTGAAATCAGGAAAAGAAAAAAAAAAGGACTTTTTGATAAACAGAATGCTATTCTCCTCTCTCATCACCTCTCAACATGAACTTTCTTATCAATAGGATAGTAACTTAAATAATCGCAAAAATGAGTAAACAAGATGCTAAACATTCCACTAAAACGGAGCAATAGAGAATCAACTAGAGCATTCAAAACAGAATAAATAAAACTCTTAACTTTCACAAACGGATCAACAAAATACCTCACTTCTTTTGAAATAGAATGAAAATTAAATAGTATCACATATATAAATTGAAATAGAGAGTTGAATTAAAGTTATTCCATAGTTGGGAAGAGTGAACAAATAAATTTTGTCTGTGTTTAAAAATTAACAAAGAGATATATAGCTGAAGTTCCACGTGGTATACAATACCAGGACAGGCAAGCTCTGAACCATAAGGTTTATACTTGAAATTCAATCTGGAATTATAAGCTATTTAACCAAAATACGACCAAAAAAAAAAGACTAGAAAGAGAAATACAAGCAAAACGTGAAAAATGAACTCTTAATTTTCTTATTAGTACTAATTAGACGGGAAAAAAATTAAAGACACACAAATCTGATGTGATTTAATAAAAATTTTAAACAGTCAAAGAAAACTTACCGGGCAGTAGAGACGGAGCTTCAGCGGGTTGGTGGCAGTGGAGACGGAGTCTCGACGGAGCTTCAGCGGCGCCGGCGGTGCCGTTGGTTGGTGGCAGTGGTGGGTTTGAGTGGGGGAAATTTGAGTGAGAGAGAGAAGAGAGAAGGAAGAAAAGAGGGAAAGGAAAAGAAAGATGCCCGCTGGTAGGATTTTTAAAAAATATTTCCGACTGATTCGGTCGGTAATTTGGTCAAAGCAGTCAACCTTGTTTTACTAAAAATTTCCGACAGAATCGGTCGCTATTTTTTTTAAAATTATTTCTGACCGAATTGGTCGCTAACAGTGACGCGGAATTTTCTTCCAAAATTTACAATGGATAAAGACGGAATATTAGTCGTAACTATTAGTAAAAATTGAAAAATAGATTTTTATGTATTTTTCGACCGATTCCGTCGGAAATTTTCGACTACTTTTTTCCGTCGGAAATTGGCCATTTTTTAGTAGTGCCGTCTCAGAGAGTATGGGAGGAGAAGTAGTGGGGGATCTTTGAGGAAGTCACTTCGAGACGTGGGGTGTCTCGGTAATAACTCCTCTACCGTAGGAAGACTGTCATCTTCTTCTACCACCGTATCTTCACCGCCCGAAGGGGACACCATGGACAATGGGACGGCCTCAGGAATCCCTTCACGAGAACGGTGTGACCTTGGCATGTTTTCGTTAAAAAAGAAAAAGGGTGTTGACACAACAGAAAAAAGAGAGGAAGAATAAGTTGTGGGCGAAGAATATGAGAAGAAGAGGTAGAAGATTGTGAGTGAAAGCTCGGAGAAATGAGGAGAGAAGCGAAATAACCAAAGAACTTTCGAAAAACAAACCCTCTACCTATTTATAGGATTGGGTGGCGCCAGAATCAAAGCGGAAGGTCACAAAGGGGCACCCGAATCGAAGCAACAAGCCATCAACTCTTGTCTTGAAAACACGCGTAATGATGACGCACGTGAAGATGACATCATTTCCCGATAAAATGTATAATCTGGTGTCTTGCTAAGTACGCTAACCACCACTATTGGTCATGCCGTAACGCTTCGAAGGATCAAATTTCTCCGTAGAAAGGCACGGTGTCCGCTCATCGAGGAAGCACCAAGTTGCAACCTCGATAAGCGGAGGGACTAACTGTATGGGTCCAAATTTAAACAATCACAACCATCGACGAGTACGATGAACGGTGAGGTCTTCATAACTTAACGTCTTG